ACACAACATACCAACAATCTAGTGAACATAAACTAGTACTCCAATAGGCAATGGGAGTGTAGGATATAGATCAGAGAAGTGGGGAAAACCGAGCAGGTTAACTCAGTGAATAGACAGGAGAGGTAGAGAAACAGAGGAAAATAGACAGGAGAGAGAGAGAAACAGAGGAAAATAGACAGGAGAGGTAGAGAAACAGAGAGATATAGACAGGAGAGATAGAGAAACAGACGGAAATAGACAGGAGAGAGAGAGAAACAGAGGAAAATAGACAGGAGAGGTAGAGAAACAGAGAGAAAAGCAGGTTAACTCAGGGAATAGACAGGAGAGGAAGAGAAACAGAGGGAAATAGACAGGAGAGATAGAGAAACAGAGGGTTATAGACAGGAGAGGGAGAGAAACAGAGGGATATAGACAGGAGAGATAGGGAAACAGAGGAAAAATAGACAGGTGAGATAGAGAAACAGAGGGATATAGACAGGAGAGATAGGGAAACAGAGGAAAATAGACAGGAGAGATAGAGAAACAGAGGGAAATAGAGAGGTAGAGAAACAGAGGGATATAGATCAGAGAAGTGGGGAAAACCGAGCAGGTTAACTCAGGGAATAGGCAGGAGAGGTAGAGAAACAGAGGGATATAGATCAGAGAAGTGGGGAAAACCGAGCAGGGTAACTCAGGGAATAGACAGGAGAGGTAGAAAAACAGAGGGATATAGATCAGAGAAGTGGGGAAACCCGAGCAGGTTAACTCAGGGAATAGACAGGAGAGATAGAGAAACAGAGGGACATAGACAGGAGAGATAGAGAAACAGAGGGTTATAGACAGGAGAGGAAGAGAAACAGAGGGAAATAGACAGGAGAGGGTTATAGACAGGAGAGGTAGAGAAACAGAGGGAAATAGACAGGAGAGGGTTATAGACAGGAGAGGTAGAGAAACAGAGGGAAATAGACATGAGAGATAGAGAAACAGAGGGACATAGACAGGAGAGATAGAGAAACAGAGGGACATAGACAGGAGAGATAGAGAAACAGAGGGATATAGACATGAGAGGTAGAGAAACAGAGGGATATAGACAGGAGATATAGAGAAACAGAGGGATATAGACATGAGAGAGAGAGAAACAGAGGAAAATAGACAGGAGAGATAGAGAAACAGAGGGTTATAGACAGGAGAGGTAGAGAAACAGAGGTATATAGACAGGAGAGATAGGGAAACAGAGGAAAATAGACAGGAGAGATAGAGAAACAGAGGGTTATAGACAGGAGAGGGAGAGAAACAGAGGGAAATAGACAGGAGAGGTAGAGAAACAGAGAGAAATAGACAGGAGAGATAGAGAAACAGAGGAAAATAGACAGGAGAGGTAGAGAAACAGGTGGGGAAAACCGAGCAGGTTAACTCAGGGAATAGGCAGGAGAGGTAGAGAAACAGAGGGATATATACAGGAGAGATAGGGAAACAGAGGAAAAATAAACAGGAGAGATAGAGAAACAGAGGGATATATACAGGAGAGATAGGGAAACAGAGGAAAAATAAACAGGAGAGATAGAGAAACAGAGGGATATATACAGGAGATATAGAGAAACAGAGGGATATAGACAGGAGATATAGAGAAACAGAGGGATATAGACATGAGAGAGAGAGAAACAGAGGAAAATAGACGGGAGAGAGAGAGAAACAGAGGAAAATAGACAGGAGAGAGAGAGAAACAGAGGAAAATAGACAGGAGAGGTATAGAAACAAATGGAAATAGACAGGAGAGATAGAGAAACAGAGGGTTATAGACAGGAGAGGTAGAGAAACAGAGGGATATAGACAGGAGAGATAGGGAAACAGAGGAAAAATAGACAGGAGAGATAGAGAAACAGAGGGATATAGACAGGAGAGAGAGAGAAACAGAGGAAAATAGACAGGAGAGGTAGAGAAACAGAGGAAAATAGACAGGAGAGATAGAGAAACAGAGGGATATAGACAGGAGAGATAGAGAAACAGAGGAAAATAGACAGGAGAGGTAGAGAAACAGAGAGAAATAGACAGGAGAGATAGAGAAACAGAGGGAAATAGACAGTAGAGATAGAGAAACAGAGGGAAAGAGATCGGAGAGGTAGAGAAACAGAGGGATATAGACAGGAGCGATAGAGAAACAGAGGGATATAGGCAGGAGAGGTAGAGAGACAGAGGGATATAGACAGGAGAGGAAGAGAAACAGAGAGAAATAGACAGGAGAGGTAGAGAGACAGCGAGAACTAGACAGGAGAGATAGAGAAACAGATGGAAATAGACAGGAGAGATAGAGAATCAGAGGGAAATAGACAGGAGAGAAAGAGAAGCAGAGGGAAATAGACAGGAGAGGTAAAGAGACAGAGGGAAATAGACAGGAGAGATAGAGAACCACAGGGAAATAGACAGGAGAGATAGAGAATCAGAGGGAAATAGACAGGAGAGAAAGAGAAGCAGAGGGAAATAGACAGGAGAGGTAAAGAGACAGAGGGAAATAGACAGGAGAGGTAAAGAGACAGAGGGAAATAGACAGGAGATATAGAGAAACAGAGGGATATAGACAGGAGAGATAGAGAAACAGAGGGATATAGACAGGAGAGGTAGAGAAACAGGGGGACATAGACAGGAGAGGTAGAGAAACAGAGGGAAATAGACAGGAGAGATAGAGAAACAGAGGGAAATAGACAGGAGAGATAGAGAAACAGAGGGAAATAGACAATAGAGATAGAGAAACAGAGGGAAATAGACAGGAGAGATAGAGAAACAGGGGGAAATAGACAGTAGAGATAGAGAAACAGAGGGACATAGACTGGAGAGATAGAGAAATAGAGGGAAATAGACAGGAGAGAGAGAGAAACAGAGGAAAATAGACAGGAGAGGTAGAGAAACAGAGGGATATAGACAGGAGAGGTAGAGAAACAGAGGGATATAGATCAGAGAAGTGGGGAAATAGACAGGAGAGATAGAGAATCTGAGGGACAGATAGAGAAACAGAGGGAAATAGACAGGAGAGGTAGAGAGACAGAGGGAAATAGACAGGAGAGATAGAGTAACAGAGGGATATAGACAGGAGAGATAGAGAAACAGACGGAAAAAGACAGGAGAGAGAGAGAAACAGACGGAAATAGACCGGAGAGAGAGAGAAACAGAGGGATATAGACAGGAGAGATAGAGAAACAAAGGGACATAGACTGGAGCGATAGAGAAATAGAGGGAAATAGACAGGAGAGATAGAGAAACAGAGGGATATAGACAGGAGAGATAGAGAAACAGAGGGACATAGACTGGAGAGATAGAGAAATAGAGGGAAATAGACAGGAGAGATAGAGAATCTGAGGGACATAGACAGGAGAGATAGAGAATCTGAGGGAAATAGACAGGAGAGATAGAGAAAAAGAGGGAAATAGACAGGAGAGATAGAGAAACAGAAGGAAATAGCCAGGAGAGGTAGAGAAACACAGGGAAAAGATTCCCAAATATAAGAGGAACATTTACAACAGAATTAAGAGAAGGGGTTTATAGTATACCGTTAAAGTATGGGTTGAGGGATATAGCAAGTTTCTGGTGTTCCTTGACCATGCCTATTTCCCGAGGCTCCCTCAACCCCATACTTTAACCGTTTTATTATAACGATACACACTGGAGATATAGTTTTAATCAGAAAATATTTGTAAACCATAAACTTTATAGCTTCACGTCCCAACTACCCTTATGATGGCAATGGAGCCAAATTATGCTTCCGAGTTCGGTAGCAAGCTCCGCCCACCTCGTGCGTCACTTCCGAGTTTGGTAACAAGCTCCCCCCACCTCTCGCCTGATTGGCTTGGCAGAAATACCCAATTGTAGGTGTGTTTTAGTTCCCAGACTAACACACAGGACTAAAACACAGTCAGGCAAAAGTGGGGATATATTCGATTTAACCAATTACTTTTATATAGAGTAAATAAAGTAGAGGTATATTAATGGTATATCATGTCAAAAAACAACTTAATAACTTTGGTTGATTCAAAATCAAATATGTCTGCAGTGTTTATTATGATGGGTTATTTCAAAAAAAAAAAATTATTTTATTTTTCTTGTGATAGGTTGTTTCAAAAAAACAAATATGTGTTTTAAAATCAATTCAGTGTATTCAGTGTTTTTTGTATGGGTCATTTCAAAATCAAATATGTATTCAATGTTTTTATGATGGTTTTTTTCAAAAACAAAAATGTATTCAGTGTTTCTTGTGATGAGTTGTTTAAAAATAAAGTATGTATAAAATGTTTTTTGGTCGAGTTATGTCAAACCGAAATTAATATGCGTCATCGATATCACATCAGTATAAAGATGAGGAAAATTTCTGGTCTATTTTCTTTCTTCCTTTTCAATAATCAGGATCACTGCATTTCAAAATCATTTGTATATTAGTTATAAGTGGATGACAAGATCAAAATTGACACATGAATCTCAAATATATTATTTTGGAAACAACTGTTGAATAAACAACATCTCTCTTGATACTTGAACATACCAGACAAGACATTTTCCTGGTTTTAATTGAATTCAAAACTTTTTGTTTTTTAATACAAATTTCTATAAGCTACAGTAAGTTAGAACTGCAATAGCAGTGACGATATGCAGATTCTACGGTCTATAACATGTCACACACAAACCTTTCCCTAAGTTCCTTCACACTACAATCACCAACACATCTCTATCACAGAAAGACATGAAACAGATTCTAGCATAATTGTGTCTGGTAAGACAGCTCACATTAAAAGCTAAATTGCCTAGCCTCCAGACCATTTTCTGTGAGCCAGAGGCTACATAGTTTCTTGTCATTGACTGCGTTTTCATTGGTCAGGATCCTTGCATTATAAGTTCATTTGCATAATGTGTTTTAAGTAGTTGGCTAGATCAAATTCAATAAAAAAAACACAACATTTTGATTTTACTTATGAAAAAGAATCATTGAAAAGACACCATTCTTTTTTTCTTTCTTAATACTGTATTTGTGTTTACAGTGACAGAGGATCGAATGCCCTACCTGATACTGGGGGAGGACAATATAGTCCTCAAACAGAACATGGAGGAGTGGCTATACTCCAAACCACACCAACTTCATACCGAGTCAGACAGTATGTTCCTCTCAGGTATGTCTCCAACAAACCCAGGATAATGACCCCCTACAAATAAATTAGGGATAATGACCCCCTACAAATATATATATAAGGGATAATGACCACCCCCTACAAATATATTAGGGATAATGACCACCCCATACAAATATATTAGGGATAATGACCACCCCCTACAAATATATTAGGGATAATGACCCCCTACAAATATATTAGTGATAATGACCACCCCCTACAAATATATTAGGGATAACGACCACCCCCCTACAAATATATTAGGGATAATGACCACCCCCTACAAATATATTAGGGATAATGACCCCCTACAAATATATTAGTGATAATGACCACCCCCTACAAATATATTAGGGATAACGACCACCCCCCTACAAATATATTAGGGATAATGACCACCCCCTACAAATATATTAGGGATAATGACC